GGAGAGGAGAGGAGGGGAGGGGAGAGGAGGGGAGAGGAGGGGAGGGGGGAGAAGAGTCTTGAGAAAGAATCTGAGGAACATATTACTTATACTAAGGAAAGAGTGGGGAAAGAAAAATAACTTTGCCCTCATTTGTGTTTATTATCTTTTCCCTCTCAGAGACAGGTAATGAAGCTGGTATCAGATCTTTACTCTCTAAATGGAGTGCAGGGAAGCACAAGAGTAGCCTATCATCAGCTCCAGACATTCTGCCATGTGCTTCCTTATAAATAAGAGGAGTCTCCAATACCATCTAACAGCATCATAGCCTTTAGTCCAGTGGTGTCAAATTCAAGTAGAAAAGAGGCCGCTAAACTAAAGTTCCCTGAAGGCCATATATTGGCTTAGAAAACCAGATATTAATATTATCTATGTTCTATTGTATTTTTATTTTGTAAAATATTTCCCGATTACATTTTAATCTGGTTCCCTGTGAACCAGGTACCTCTCCATCTTTTCCATGAGCAGAACATAAGACACTTACTCAAATGTTTTACTGAAGTCTGAATATATTAGGTCTACCATATTCCCCTCATCTGCCAGGCTACTCACCCCATTTGAAAAGGATATGTGGTTAGTCTGACCTGGACTGCTCTTGATAATTGCATGCTGGTTCTTAGGGATCATTGTTTCTCTTTCTAAATGTCATTAACCATTCCCTTAATACTGTGCTGGAGGATTTTGTCCAGAATTGAGGTCAACTTTGCCAGTCTACAAGTTAAAACTCTACCTTCTCCCCTTTTCGTGAAAGTTAGGATATTTGTCCCACCCACTCCAATCCTATTGCACCTCTTCCTTTCTCCATGATGATTTAACATGGGGCAGCTAGGTGGTGCCCTGGAGTCAGGGGGACCTGAGTTCAAATCCGACCTCAGACAAATAACATTACTAGTTGTGTGACCCTAGGCAAGTCACTTAACCCCAATTGCCTCACCATAAAACAAAAACAAACAAAAAAAACCCCACACGTTTCAGGATGATTTAACACCATTAAGCAGAAGGATAGTCTAGTGGACAGAGTGCTGAACTTGGACTCAGGAGACCTGGATTTGAATTCCACCTCAGATAATTTTTATTTCTCAAATCCTCAGTTTCCTCTTCTGTAAAGTTAGGAACATAACACTTAGAACACCCACCTCAGGGTATTGTCATAAGAAAACCACTTTGCAAATCTTAATGTGCTGTGCATATAAGATAGTGAGAGATTAAAAAAAAAAAAAAACCTTCTTCTGCTCATGTAGGTCAGCACCTTTTCTGTAACTTGTAGTCTTGGACAGGCATCTAAGGCACAGAAGGATTAAGCTAATTGCCCATGGCCACACAGCCAGAAAGTGTCAGAGGAGTGACTTGAACTCAGGTCTGCATAGTTCAGAGACCAGTTCTCTGTCCATTATACCATTACTATTTTTACTAAAGATTACTGACAGCAGCTTGGTACCCATTTCTTTCTATATTCCAGAATGTGGATGCTCTGGACCTGGAGACTTGATCTCATCAGATGAGTTAAATTCTATCTGGCCTTTTCCTCACCTACTCTGAGTTTCCACTGATAACAATTTTTGTTCTATTCTTCTCAAAACACATTCTCCTTTTAAGAGAAAACAGGAGCAAGTATGACTAATTCAGCTTTCTTATCACTGTCCATTACTTTCATACTACTGACTGCCCTGAGCAGTGGTCCTATCTTTTCTTTAATAACTCCTCTTGTTCCAACAATAGCTAAAAATCTGTTGTTGTCTTTTTAGCATTCACAACCAAGTTATTCTGGACTTCAACATTCCTGAAATAATTCTATGCAATATGCATTTTTATTCATTCCTAGATCCTGACCCCTGCTTATACATTTTATGGTGTATATATATATATATATACATATATATATATGTATATATATGTGTGTGTGTGTGTATGTATGTATGTGTGTGTATATGTACATATATGTATATGTACGTGTATACACACACATACATATATCTACATCTTCAACATATATGTGTCTTTTAAAATCTTGATTTTGTCCATGAATTCCCTATAGATGTATAGTCTCTTTAAGCAACTACACCTTCCTCTTTTTTTTCCCCACTCACAGCAATCATTTCTACCTGGGTCTTCATAATCTTATTATCAAGAGTTTCTTCTCCCTCTTGGGCTGACTTCCCTTTCAAAATATTGCACCACTGAATGCTACACACCCTTTCTCTGAACTCTACACTATTTTCCTCATGAGGATGTTGTATGTAAAACACTATGTAACATTAATATGCTAGGAAAACATAAGCTATATGTTGGCTGTACCAGCCATTGTTCTGAGCAACAGGGAAAGGGAGACAAGGGGAGATCAATGTTAATCAGAACCAGAATCAAGGCTAACAACATGCATCCTTGCTCTGTATTTGACAACTATGTCCTTAGAACCCAAGTAAATGGATTCTTTCATAGCCCTTGCTCATACCTAGTAAATCATTTGTGACATGCCAACATCTGGGCTTAGATTGGCTTCTGGTACCTCCTACCAGAGAGTCTAAGGTCCCTTCCAGCTCAAAATCTATGTTCCCATGATTTCCCAGCAACCCATGGCCACTCCCACAGCACAAAGAAAGTATCATGGTAGTTCTTTATTGAAGGATGGATAATGATAATAATGATGACATTGCATTTCTAAAAGTAATTTAGCCTCTAAGCATGGGGAGATCTGAATTATATTGACAGAAATCATAACTAGATGAGAGGATCAGCAGGGGATAGAATGCCATCAGAATAAAAGGCATTTAGGGATATTTGGAAACAAAATAGAGGAAATTAAATCTCATTAAAAGTAGACTTTCATTTTTTATATTTGGATCCCAGTGCACTGAGTAGGTGCTTAATAAATGTTTGTTGATTGGTTGACTTTTTATGTCAAAAAGTAGTCCTTTTACAATTATAACTGCATTATTGTTGTTATATAATACAATTGCCATTCAAGTATTTTGATGTGACATTATTTCATATTTAACGTTTTAGACAAGGGAAAATATCACTAGTATTAATATGTTCTCCTACAACCCCTTTTTACATTGTATGGAGCAGTGTTGCCCAAGGCCACTTCAAAAATGCTATACTACAATGTATTTCAATATTACTCCAATTTTTACATCATCTCCGAATCCTATTTCGTGTGTACTGATTCCCTCTCTCTTCTCCTATGATAAGTTATGTGGAATAAATAGAGGTTGCATGTGCAACCCTTCAGTACAATT